AAATAAAACTGCAAACTTTTATAAACGTTGCTACATCACCAAAGAAACATGTTCCTGTTACAGCTGCGCGCAATTATACGTTTTAACCATAATCTGTGTTACACTGCGTAGAATACATAAACCTTTAGGAGAAAGTCCACATTTTGTAAGTCTAAATATACCGTCTTATCGTTCGTAGTAAGGGTACAAAGAAAGTCAGTTTTATAAGTTTACAGTGATGTCAGCGAATGAGTCATACACTAATCAATTGTACTTGCAAAAATCGACTTGGTTTCTCTTAATTATCCGTTTACTTTGATACCACAGTATATTAAGAGGTTCAATTGATCAAAAACACGCTAAAACAAACGAAATTTGAAGACAAAACAGTGAAATCCACACAGCCTTCGCTTGTTCTCATTGGCCTCCATGATTTCCTGATCTTTTCAAACCGTATCGCGCATGCGTGAAACGTGGAAGCGGGAAACATATGTTCGGTCTCAGTCTTTTTTGTCCTAGTCGGCAGTCAAATATCTCCACGTCGGGCGAAGAAAGATTCAAATATCCCCTCCCGCGGGAAAACAAGATCAGTCAAATGCCCTACCCCTGGGACAACAAAGACAATCAAATCCCCACCCCATGCCCCCCCGGCTTTACATTGATAGGTGCATAAATTATAAAGCATATTTTTTAGAGTTGTCAAATACTCATTGCTTTAAAAGGTCAAACACCAACAATGGCAAAACCGATCAAGTTCATCTCGCTGACTCGCGAGCAACAATTAGAGAGTGTATATTTTAAGAGTGTATTATATTGTGTGCCAGATCTTCACATATTTTATATGCTTGCTATAGCACAATGAGTAATGACTAAAATTCTGGGTTACTCGTGCGAAGTTTAGCACGAACTGACAAAATCATGATGTTTGATGCTTCAGAAAATCCCCCGGAAAAAAAAAAAGATGCTTTTAAGAGAAACAAATTACAATACTGACCTTTTAAAAGTGTCTGGCATTCTGTCTGCATTAAGGTCGAGGGAAAATATGTTCCCCAACACAGGAAGGGACGACAAACGAGGACCGGGTGGCATGTTTCTGAACTCGTAGAGCACAATCAAGTAATGCAGAAGGAAAAACAGAAGCAACAGCAGAAAAACATTTCCAAGGCAGAGAGAATCGTAAATCGTGGCAAGTACAGGCGACATGGTAAAGCATAGATTTGACCTTAGGTAAAAGATACGACTTTTAAGGTACTGGTGTTTCGCAATCCCTGAGTCATGCTTCAGCTCGCGAAATAAGAAGGCAAAGTACGTATTCTTGGCTTAAAGCCAACAGTACTTGACCTATTGATTTAATAATAAAAGAACGGCTTGAAATGATGACATAGAACAAACAGACCCTTCCACGTTTTTTCTTTTCTCTTCTTTTCAACTCTTTTATAAAGAGAAGTAAGCGGATGTCCATCGACACTGCTGAAAAGAGGGCCTTAAAATAAGATAACTTAAGTTTAAAGGTGGGCGAAATTTCACAGACGTTTATATAGTGGGGGCAGGAACTTTTCTCTACAGCCCCCTTCCATCATACGAACGTCTCTACAGAGTTTTATCTTCGTCAGCTTTTAACAAATCACTTTCAAATTCGGCGACTTTACTAATTCAAAGACATTCTTTCCAGTCGTGTTGACAGATTTTTGCAGACTGGTCCCTGTCAAAAATTGAAAAAGCCATGGAAGAACTTCTAGCTAACGGTCAAGTGGTTGTTGCCTCAAATAACTTTGACCTTTTCTTTCATCTGCGACATGTTCACTCATGCAGTTTATTACATTTACGTCAAGTTGAAAACTAAGTAAACTAGACGAAAGTTGAACTTTATTCTAGGTTGTTAAGTTTTCATCTTGACGTGATTTTAATAGCTGCATGCGAAAAGAATGTCGAGATGAAACTTAATTAAAGGTCAAGGTGAGGAGTTTTCCGTGAATCAAAACTTCTCAAGCGACAAATATCGGTTTCCGGTGGACTTTAATCTTTTCCTCTCCTAATTTTGAGTCTCATATCAAGTTTATGAACTTTATCTTATTTATCTCTTTGCTGTTGTTGTTGCTTTTTTTTCCTGCAAGTGCTAATATGTAAATCAGCATTGACGTCAAGTCTTTGAACAATTTTGATGCATCAGTATTCGCTATTGTAGTCAATCAATCAATCAATCAATCAATCTTTATTTGCCCTTTCACATACCAATTACAGGATAACATTATACCTGGGCAGGCTCTCAGCAAACCCTTTTGGGTTTTACTAGGAGAGCCCCTAAACAAGTTTACTACAAAATTGATTTATTTTAAGGATTATAAAAAAGAAATGCAATTTGACGCCAAGTTCGAGGAAAAAAAAAATGCAGGAACGTTGAAACTGCCTAGACAGGAGATTAACCCCGAAAATACGGTGTCAAAACAGACTCATGGTAACTTATCACTATCATGATTAGTTGTGCCTTCTTAAATTTTTTATAACTGGTAGTAATGAAAGG